AGATCCAAGGCCCCCTCGGGGTCCCCCACCAGCCCCGGTGGACCTGCAGCCGTGTCCCCCCCTCCCCTTGCAGAAGGTGCGTCACAGCAAGTTGGCCGAGTCGGTGGAGAAGGCCATCGAGGAGAAGAAGTTCTTGGCCGGGGCGGACCCGTCGGCGGTGGAGATGTGTTACCCCCCCATCATCCAGAGCGGGGGCAACTACAACCTCAAGTTCAGCGTGGTCAGGTAGGAGAAGACCTGCCCCACACGGGCTGCGGCCTGGTGGGACTCCAGCGCCACGTGGCCTCCTCGGGGTGGAGGCGATTGGGGGCTGCAAAGGGACCATGGGGAGGGTGCAGAAGGCACCTTAGAGCCACCAAAAGGCACCTTAGAGCCACCCAAACTCCTTTAGATCTTCAAAAGGACCACCTGGGTTCTCCAAAAGCCCCTTTAGACCCCCAAAACCACCATCTTAGTCCTCCAAAACCCCCCTTAGACCTCTAAAAGCCCCCTTAGATCCCCAAAACCACCACCTTGGTCCTCCAAACCCCCTCTTAGATGTCCGAGAACCCCCTTAGACCCCCAAAACCACCATCTCAGTCCTCCAAAAGCCCTCTTAGTCCTCCAAAAGCCCTCTTAGTCCTCCAAAAGCCCCCTTAGACCTCCAAGAGCCCCTTTAGACCTCCAAAACCACCACCTTGGTTCTCCAAAACACCTCTTAGACCCCCAAAACCACCATCTCAGTCCTCCAAAAGCCCTCTTAGACCTCCAAACGCCCTCTTAGACCTCCAAAACCACCACCTTGGTCCTCCAAAACCCCCCTTAGACCTCCAAAACCACCACCTTGGTCCTCCAAAACCCCTCTTAGACCCCCTCAACCCCCCTTTAGACGTCCAAAACGACCACCTTGCTCCTCCAAAACCCCCCTTAGACCTCCAAAACCACCATCTTGGTTCTCCAAGAGCCCCTTTAGACCTCTAAAAGCGCCCTTAGACCCCCAAAACTACCATCTTCATCCTCCAAAACCCCTCTTAGATGTTCAAAAACCCCCTTAGACCTCCCAAACCCCCTTTAGACCTCCAAAACCACCACCTTGGTCCTCCAAAACCCCTCTTAGACCCCCAAAACCACCATCTCAGTCCTCCAAAAGCCCTCTTAGACCTCCAAAACCCCCCTTAGACCTCCAAAACCACCACCTTGATCCTCCAAAACGCCTCTTAGACCCCCAAAACCACCACCTTGGTCCCCCAAAAGCCCTCTTAGACCCCCTCAACCTCCCCCTTGTGGTGGCGCCTCCATCCCGACGTGTCCCCCCCTCACCCCGGCGCAGCGACAAGAACCACATGCACTTCGGGGCCATCACCTGCGCCATGGGCATCAGGTACAAGTCCTACTGCTCCAACCTGGTGAGGACCTTGATGGTGGACCCGCCGCAGGAGATGCAGGACCATTACGCCTTCCTCCTGCAGCTCCAGGACGAGATGCTCAAGGAGATGAGACACGGTGAGGAGCGAAGCGGGCGCTGAAAAGGGGGCTTTTGGGGGGGGCCAGGTCTTCTTCAGGGCGTCTTGGTCCTCTTGGAGGGGGTCTTGGACCTCTTTTGGTGGGTTCTGGAGGTCTTGGAGGGGGTTCTGGACCTCTTACGGGGCTCTACATCTCCTTGAGGGGGTCTTGAACCACTTTGAGGTGGATCTGGAGCTCTTTGAGGTGGATCTGAAGCTCTTTTGCTGGGTTCTGTAGCTCTTTTGGTGGGTTCTGGAGGTCTTGGAGGGGGTTCTGGACCTCTTACGGGGCTCTACATCTCCTTGAGGGGGCCTTGGACCTCTTTGAGGTGGATCTGGAGCTCTTTGAGGTGGTTATGAAGCTGTTTTGGTGGGTTCTGGACTTCTTTTGGTGGGTTCTGGAGGTCTTTGAGGTGGTTCTGGACCTCTTATGGGGCTCTACATCTCCTTGAGGTGGTTTTGGACCTCCTTTGGTGGGTTCTGGACCTCTTTTGGTGGGTTCTGGAGGTCTTTGGGGGGGGTTTGGGCCTCTTCTT